TGCCCAGCCAGGGATGGAACCCCAGTTCCTGCCCTCGCCTAAGCAGGTGCTTAGTCTGCTGAGCTATCTCGCCAGGCCTTTAAATAAGTCTTCCTGTTGTTGAGTTACACAAGTTCTTTACATAATCTGGATACGGGGCCCTTATAAAGACCCAGTGTGCAAATGTTGCCTCCCCTCTGTGCGTTGTCCTTCACTTTGTTGTTCATGCACTCCAAGGCCAAGAGGCAGGTGGGGGTTCTGTTCTGCAGACGGTATTTGCTTTGTGTGCACGAGGTGCTGCCAGCTAAGAGGTTTGAGCGTTTTCATTTTATCTGGTCCCCCTTGGCTGGTGGTGCTTCGGGACTGGCTCTAAGGCCCCAGTGCCCTGTTGCCACCTGTGGAGATTTGCATCTGTTTTCTTTCTCGTGGGTACTGTGGTTTTAGTTACTGTGGTTCACCTCTCTTTCTCTGCCTTTTTCATTTTTATTTTTTCAGTCTTTCATTTTTCTTTCATGTTACTCATTTTCTTTTTCTTTCTCTTTCTTTTTGTTGATACAGGGTCTCACTATCCAGTTCAGATTTGTAGTGATCCTCCTGTCTCAGTGCCCCCAGCTCTGGGATTACAGGGGTGCAACACCACGCCTGGTTTCAGGGCCAGCAAGGCCAGAGTTCCAGGGCTAGTACAGCATGCGGTACCGGGGATCGAACTCTGGTCCTTGCTTTTTCCAGGTTAGAGCGTTCTTTCTTTTAAAATGTCATCCTGGGTCCTTGAGGGCCCCTGCAATCCCATATCAATTTGGAGATTTCTTCTTTCTTCAATTTAGCAGGAATTGACTTGATGCTACACATAAATTCGAGGAATGAAACTACTCTAATAATAATAAACCTTATCCAGAGGGGTGAGGAGGCACACTGTACTCTCAGCAGTCTAGGAGGCTGAGGCAGGAGGATCGACAGTTCAAGTCCGCACTGGTCCAAGTAGCAACGAAGTGAGGCCCTGTCTCAAAATAAAGATATAAAGGGCTGAGGGCACAGCTCAGTGAAAGGCCCTGGGTACTAGCTCCTGTACCCCCAAAGAACAAAGCACTCCCTGTGTAGGACATGTGATGTTTCGGCTTCTCATTGATTTAGGTCATAAACTTTTTCAAGTAGTTTTATGTTTTGGGGTATATTTCAGGCTGATTTTGTATTTGATTCATAGAAAGAAGATATTATGTTTGTGTATTTAACTTTTTTTAAAAAAATATTTATTTATTTTTTTATTACATTTATTTATTGTGTGTGTGGCCAGCTCAGCCCACCAGGGGGCGGGGCTGGCTGGCATGTGGTGCTGGGGGATCGAACCGAGGTCCCTGTGCTTTGCCAAGCTTGTTTCAAGTAGGTGCTTTAGACCACTGAGCCATCTCTCCAGCCCCTGTATTTAACTTTTTAAAAACAATTTTTGAGGCTGGGGAGATGGCTCAGTGGAATAAGCACTTCCCTGGCAAGCGCAAGGGCCTGAGTTCAATCCCTGGTTCTGCAAAGAAAAAAAAATTAAGTAGCTACATGTGGTGGCACACACCTGTTATCCCAGCACTCGGGGGGGCAGAGGCAAGAAGATTGCCGAGTTCGAAGCCAGTCTGGACTATAAAACGAGAAGACACTAAACTAAAAATTAAAAAGGGCTGGGGATGTAGCCCCATGTAGAGGTCCTTGTTTCAATCCTTCTACTGTGTGTGTGTGTGTGTGTGTGTGTGTGTGTGTGGGTGTGTACAGTCCTGTGTTTTTTAAGTGTGTGGCACTGGGAATCAAACCCAGGGCCTCACGCAAGCCAGGCTGTACTATACTGCTACACCCCCCAGTCCATGTCTTCTAGTCAACATAATTTTGTAGGAGTCACTCACATCCTTATGTGCAGCTGTAGTTTTCATTTTTGTGGCTGTATAGTATTCCATTCCATACATACTATATGTATCTATTTTATTACTTTTGGACATCTGGGTCCCCCCCCCACATACATTCAGGTTACTAGGAGCAATGCTGAAATAAGCACATATGCTTTTTTTTTTTTAATTAGGAAAAAAAGCTGGATGCACTCCCAGCAGCATCAGCAGATCTATTTGTAGTTTGCAGGGGGCAGGAGAACAGCTGCTTTCTTTTCAAGTCAGTTATGATGGTTCAGAAGCCCCCGCCCTCCTCCTGAGGGGACCTGGTGATGCGGTGGCGCTGAAGCCTGCAGCCTTGTGTGAAGAGCTGGATCTTGCAACCAGGGCTGGGCACAGCTGTTGCCTGGAGCGGAAGGTCACCAGGTCACCAACCTTTAGCTCTCAGGGAGAGTGGGGGCGGAGGCCTCGTGGGTGGCTGGTGGCTGGGCTTTGTCTCACACCTTGGAGGCAGAAGAGCTATGCCTGTTCCTGTTCTTTGTGCCTTGTGTCTTTAGGAACGTCGGGGCCGTCCTGCCTGAGACCCCTCAGCCGGACACCGGAAGCCAGCTGCGCCTGTCCACGCTTCCCGCTGCTTGGGCGGGGAGTGGAGTGCCAGGGCCTAGGGACCCCCACTGAAGCACCAGGCTCCTGACCCCAGAGTCAGAACAATGGAGGCTCAGCCCCCACTTCAGGCTCCGAGCTGCCCGCCCACACTGGACATTGGTGCTGTCGCCATGTGGCACACGGCCAGCCTCCTGGTCCTCCCTCCTGCCTCGTCTAGGGGGCTGGAAGCATCACCGATGACACTCACATCCTGACCCCGAGTGGGCCCCCAGGCGCCGTGCAGGGCCAGCTGGCAGCCCGAGCTGCCCAGCACCCAGAGGCCCCGTCCCTGCTGCGCGACTGGCCGCTGCCTGGAGCCCG